GGTGCTGGAGGGCGTCCGTGATGTTGCCGACGAGTTCGGCGTGCTTCGCGTCGTTGAGGAGGGACCCGAGCGCCTCGAAGATGGCGCCCTTGCTGGGGACGCCGGGCGGCTGCGTGTCTTTCCACGGCGGCGGCTTGCCAGTGCCTGCCCAGGCTCCTGTCGGTTGACGAAGCTCCGCCGGTGAAGGGGCCAAGGCCTTGCCGCAGCTGAAGCATTCGGACTCCCCCGTCCACGTCCATCTGTAGTGGCACAGCTTGCAGATGGTGTACTGGTGCTGGTGCTGAGGATGCACACGCCCGTGTGCACGTCGCGAGCCATTTGTGCGTCCACGAGGTCTGTGGTTTCCGTCGTCAGCAACAGCAGCACCTCCGTCCGCAGCTGCGGCTCCGCCGCGGGCGGCGGCCATCGCTGGATTGCGTCCTGAGGTGCCCTCGCGTGAGGCGCACGAGGGGGATATGGACTGGGCGGCAGCTCGCCCGTGAGAGCGGCTGCGGATATGAAGATCGCTGAACGCTGTGGGAGCCTACCCCAGACAGGCAGTGGGAAGAGCACCACTTTGGCCTTTAGCCAAAATGGCTACGGAGGGAGGAGGAGGAGGAGGAGGAGCAGGAGGAGGAGGAGGAGGAGGAGGAGGAGGAGGAGGAGGGAGGAGGAGGAGGACGTGGAGGAGGGGGGGCGCCAGAGGGAGAGGGTAGGAGAGTAGGGAAGACGGCGTAGGGGGAAGGTAAAGGGGCATCGTGGAGGGTGAGAGGGAAGACGGGGGCAGAGGAGAGAGGAGAGATGGGGTCAAACAATGCGCGCATGCCAACTTGGACATTTTACCCCTTCCACCCGTCCCTTCCCTTTGCGCTGATGGATTGTCCACCCGCCGACTCTGAAATGCCCCTATCGGGCAATGTGTAATTTGGAACGACAGCTGTGTACAATGTAGGTGGAGGAGGCGGAGTTGGCGAATGAATTGGAGGAAGAGGGGGGTTAAGAAGGAAGAGGACGAGGAGGACCAGCAGCAGCAGCAGCAGGAGCAGGAGTTGTAGGAGCGGGAGGTGAAGAAACACCAGGGGAGTGCGGAGGAAGGGAACGGAGGGGGGGCGACAACGACGGGGAAGGACTCGGATCCGGACAGTGGCCCACGCTGGGGCGGGAGCGCCATTCTGAACGACGGGAGCGAAGCGCGGATGCATAAACAGACCCCACGCTGCAGCGAAAGCACTTATTTAGAACCACGCTCATGTCGTCTCGCCGTTTGTTCCGACGTGCAGCCTTCCGTCTTCGGGAGGGCGCTTCGGCCACCAGGGCAAACGCCGCCTCGGGCGCAGGGTCTGCTGTGGGCTTGCTGTGGTTCCGGTGTCGTCCACGTGGGAGCATCGAGAGCGAACGACGCGGCGACGCATCACCTGATGGAGAGCATACGTACAACACAAGTACGTACATACAGCCAAGGCGCTGAAAGGATGACCGCGTTGGGTTCGGTAGGGGCTTGCTGTCCCTTGGGTCGTTCTGTGGTCGTTCCTCTAACCCTCCTCGTGCACCCAGGCGCTTATGGTGCCAAAGAGGGGCTTCGTTCCTTATTGAACCTTCCTTGTCACAGCAGCCCGATCGGATACACTCTACGTTGGGAAGCCAATGCGCCCGAACTGCTATACAGATGCGGTAGCAGCGGCGCCCCGCTCGCGCAGCACCCGGGGAGGACGGAGAGCAGCATTCGTTCGGAGCAGCCGTGTAGCACCGAGGCCATCGAAGCGGGCAGGCTCGGCCCTGGTACGGTAAGGTACCCTTTGTGTCCTGTCGATCCCCACCGCGGAATTCTTCCATGTCTGAGCGCCTACCTCCTTCTCCTCCCGCGCTGCCGCCCTCTTCTCCCCCCCGCTCTCTTGCACGCTGGACAATGCGCCTCCTATCGGTGCCCCTTATCAGCCCTTTCGCTGGTGCGGATCACCTCCGCCTCGCCGCCGACGGAAAACAAGTGTCCTGTCTATCCCGGCCTATGCAGCGCGCATGTCCTTTGGTGTTCTGGGGCCACGTTGCCGTCGGAAGAATTTTGAGTCCTCTCGGGCGTCCTGTCCAATCAGGCCCGACTGTACGGAAAGAACGGTTCCCAAGACCGAGAGCAGTTCCCGTTCTCTTTGGACAGGACTCGTTGTCGTGCAGCCACAGCGTTGGAATATGGATCACGTTCGACATTGGGCTTAGGCTCAATTCGTTGGTCTGGGATTCGGGGCGCATCATGCAGCCACAGCGTTGGAATATGAATCACGTTCGACATTGGATGCAGTATTGGATCTTCCCCTGCCTGGCCCAGACGAATGCATCGCATCCAGCGCGGTGCTGCGCCCGTATATATGCTCGCCCCTTGGCGTGGGGCTGGCGGGGGGCCAAGGGGCGAGCTGTCCGGTGATTTGTTTAATCCTGGAGCATTTACTATATCGAGGACGCCTACGGCGAATCACCGCCGCCCCCTGCCCCTTTGGAAGCGCCTCTGTGGCCGACAGCTGTGCCAGAGCTTGCCCAAGCTATCGGGCCAGTTGTTCCCCGAGTCGGTTTGGAAAGACTTCGGGGAACGCATGGGGGAGCACGAAGAGGAGGAGGAGGAGGAGGAGGCCTCTTGGGCGCCTCTTGGGGCACTCTTGGGGCCTCCTGGGAGCTTCCTCGGGGCCTCTTGGAGGGTTTTGGGAGGCCTTTTGGGGGCTTCTTGGGGGCCTCTTTGGCCGTCTTAGGGCGTTCCTGGCTTGTCTGCAGCCGTCGGAAGCCGTCTTGGGGGCCTGTCTGGGTCGTCTTGGGGCCCTCTTGGAGCATATCAGAGGTTCTTAGAGGCCACCTTGGGCGTCTTGGAGGCCTCTTGGGCCGTTTTGGGGCCCTCTTGGGGCCGTCTTGGGAGCCTTTTGGGCCGTCATGGGCCATCTTGGAGGCCTCTTGGAAGATCTTGGGAGCCTCTTGCGCCGTCTTGAGCCTCTTGGGCCGTCTTGGGGCCCTCTTGGGGCCGTCTTGGGGGCCTCTTGGGCCGTCATGGGGACATCTTGGAGGCCTTGTGGGTGATCTTGGGGCGATCGTGGGGGCCTCTTGGGCCGTCTTGAGCCGTCGGGAGGCCGAAAAGAAGCAAATGCCAAAATCCTTGAAAAAACCTAAGGGTAATCAATAAGTGTGGCCTCTTTGTCCCCTTCTGGAGGACCTCTTGGAGGCCTCTTGGGCTGTCTTGAAGGCCTCTTGGGGGCCTGTTCGGCCGTCTTGGGCCATCTTGAGGCCATCTCAGGCCGTCTTGGGTGCATCTTGGGCCGTCTTGGAGGTATCTTGGGGCCGTCTTAGCCGTCTTGGAGGCCATCTTGGGCCGTCGTGGAGCCATCTGGGGCAGGAAAACCCTCGGCAACCACCTCCAGAAGGGTCTGGGCAATCCTTACGGGTGGCCCGCGGGACGCGCCGAAGCCCCAGGGGGAGTTCTTTTGGAAAAAGAATTGAAACCAAAACCGAGAGGATTCAGCAGCCAGGCACCCCTCGTGCAAGCAACAGTGGGCGGCGGATCGAAGACGCCTACGGCGAATCACCGCCGCCCCCTGCCTTTGTGGAAGCGCCTATGTGGCCGAACGTTGAGGCCAGACCTGGCAAGCCATCGGACCATGTGTTCCCCGAATCGGTTTGGAAAGCCTTCGGGGAACACGTGGGCGCCTTGATGGTCATCGTCGTCGTCTTGGAGGCCTCTTGGGCGATCTTTCGGCGATCTTTGGGGGCTCTTGGGCCGTCTCGGGCCGTCGGAAGGCCGAAAGAAGGGAAATGCCCAAATCCATCAAAAACCTTGGGAAAATCAGTGATTTTGGCATCTTTTGGCCTTCCTGGAGGCCCTCTTGGGGGCCTCTTGGGCCCTTTTGGGCCAGCTTCGAGCCAACTTCGGCCATCTTGGTGGGTTCCTGGCACGTCTGACGCCGTCGGGAGCCGTTTTGGGGGCCTGTCTGGGCCAACGGGGGACCCTCTTGGGGCGCTCCAGGGCCGTCTTGGAGGCCATCTTGGGCGTCTTGGAGGCCATCTTGGGCGTGTTGGAGGCCTCTTGGGCCGTCTTGGGGCCCTCTAGGGGCCATCTTGGAGGCCACTTGGGCCATCAGGGGGCTCTCTTGGGGGCCTCTTGGGCGATCTTGGGGGCTTCTTGGGCCGTCTTGAGCCGTCGGAGAGCCGAAAAGGCGCAAATGCCAAAATCCTTCAAAAACCAAGGGAAAATCAATGATTTTGCCCTCTTCGGACTCTCCTGGAGGACCTCTTGGAGGCCTCTTGGGCCGTCTGGGAGGCCTCTGGGGGGCCTCTTGGGCCGTCTTGGGCCGTCTTGGACTCTCTTGGGCCGTTTTGGAGGCCGTCTTGGACCATCTCGGGCGGACTTGGAGGCCATCTTGGGCCATCTTCGCGATTTTTTGAGGATGTCCCGAGCGAAACGGCCGTTTTTGCGCACGGTGGCGGGTTCTGCCGGAGCCCACTGGGGAGTTCTTTTGGAAAAAGAACCAAAACCAAAACCTAACAGCTCGTCCAGCACGCCGTGCACCCCTGCAAGCAGGGGGCGGCGGATCGAGTGGTCTTCGGCACATCACGCCACCGTGCCTGGGTTGTCGGTCAGAGGCACCTTGGATGTCTGTCAGGATCTGTCGGGGGACCTCTCGGAAGCCTGTTGGATGCGGTTTGGGTGGTGCTTAGGGAGCGTCCCGGGGCCTCTTAGGGGCATCTTGGGGCCTGGTTTGGGCCTCTTGGGGGTCTCTTGGGGCCTCTTGGAGGCCTCTTGGGGCCTCTTGGAGGCACCTCGGGGGCCTCTGGGGGGATCTTGGGGCGGAGGGCTCAAAATGTCAGTTCGTCTTCCCCCTCCTGGGGCTGTCTTGGAGGCCTCTTGGGTCTCCGTTGGGGGCCCTCGGGCCATTTGGGCGATGTTGTGCGCCTCTTAGGGCCTCTTGGGCCGTCTTGGATCCGCTGAAGACCAAAAAGGCGGTAACACTAAAACCTCAGATTGCTCCCGCCACCTTCATAGCAGCGGCGAGGTTTTCATGGGTGAGAACTACCTGGCGAACTACGTCCAGAGCGTGTTCAACACGCTGATCGACCTGAAGGTGCCGGTCAAGGGCGGCACCCTCGTGGTCTCGGGCGACGGGCGCTACTGGAACTCGGAGGTCGTCCGTCGTCTTCCTTCTCGTCCTCCTTGTCCTTCTCTTCTCGCCTTACTCCTCCTCCCTTCTCGTACCGCTCCCTCCTCCTCCCCCTCCTCATCCTGCTATTCCTCCGTGTCCCTCGCTCATCAGTCTTTCTCCTCCTTCTCCTCCTCCTCCTCCTCCTCCTCTCGCTCCTTCTTCTCGTCGTTCTCGTCTGACGCTTGCCCTCATCGTTCACCTCCTGCGCAAGAGAGGAAACATTGAGGAGAAGAAGGCGACAACGAGCAGGGACGAGGCGGAGCAGGGAATAAGGATGAGGAAGACGACGACCAGGAGCAGGAGGACAAGGAGGAGGTCTGGGATGAGGGGGAGGAGGAGGGCCAGGAGGAGCAGGGGAACTGCAGGTGATAGGAGGAGGTGCCAGGAGGAGGAGGAGGAGGAGGAGGAGGAGGAGGAGGAGGAGGACGAGAAGGCGTTGGATCGGGAGGATGTGAATAATACAATAATTCCGAAGACGAGGGGTATCATAATGATGGGGGAGTACTTGGAGGATGTAGAGACATTGCCAGGCTGACTGCGGAGCCTCTGTGAGATATGTAGCTGGCAGCGAAAATGCCGATATCGGATCGGATCGGGCCCCTCGGAGGCAGCAGTTCGGATGTCTCTGACGCTGGGTGCCTCTAGGATCGGGCTACACCCGAAAGTAAACCGCGTGGTCACACACTGACGGGAAACGAAACGCAGGTCTTAACGCCTGCTCGTACCCACAAGTCTCATGATGGCGGCGTCCAACGCTCTCGAGTCACATCCTGTGTTTTGCCCGGCAGCAGGGGTTGGAAAAAAAACGGGCCTCGGGATGAGTGCGGCTGGCGCTGGGACAGCGACGGAGGGGCGGATGACCTGCGAGGCCGCTTGGGGGGAGGGGGGAGAAGAGGAGGCTCGAAAGGCGAGGAGGGGAGAGGAGGCGCTGGGGCGCTGGGGAAGCTAGGCTCGGGAGGCTCAGAGGAGCTCTGCTTATCAGCCTGGGCCAGTGCTCGGGCATGTGCCAACAGCGTAGCTGCCACATCTCAGTACGGGAACACGTCGGGGTAGCACTCGTAGGTGAACGACGTGGGCTCCCCATGCCCTCAACACCTGGCTTAGGCGTATTCGAAGATGCAGGAGGTGAGCATTCCATGCATGCCCTGAACAACTGCAGAAGAAGTAGGCGCATTCTGTGATGCAAGAGAGCCTCCCATGCCCTGAACCAATGTCGTAGAAGTAGGCGGGCTCTGTGGTGCACGCGGTGGGCTTACCATGCCCTGGGATGCTGAAGCCGGCGTACACTTCAATGCGTGAGGTGGGTTTCCTATGCCCTGAACAACTGATGACGTAGGCGCACTCTGTGCTGCAAAAGGTGGGCGACTTATGCCCTGGGCAACTGATGAAGAAGAAAGCGCGCTCGTGGATGCGTGTGGTGGGCCTCCCATGCCCTGAACAATTGGCGTAGATGTAGGCGCATTTCCTGATGCAGACGAGAAGCTCCCATAGCCCATCGCTGCCGTATTCTGTGGAACACAAGGGCCCCATTGCGTACAACTGCGCCTTGTCCACTGAAAAGCAGAGAAATCTAGCCCATGAGTGCGCCTTCTAGTTGCGTCAGCTTCGTGTGAAGGATCCTCTCCATGTGCACCATCGGCCCTTGGCCTGGCTGGTAGCTCGCTCCCGTCTGGATGAGGGAGTCGTGAATCACGCTGAGGTCGACGCCGCTCCTGGTGTTGAGGCTGATCTGGAGCTTGCACTGCGCTGCGTCGTGAGTGCAGCTGGCCTTCGCGAGCGGGGCGAGCTCGAAGATCTGCTTGTCGTCCACGGCTTTCGGCTCGTCGCCGAGCGTCGTCAAATTCTGCTGGTTGAGACCGCCGACGGACGCGCCCTCCCGATGTAGACCTTCGAGCAGACCTGCGAAGGCCGCGGTGCTGATCGCGCCGATCTTCGCCATCTCTGCGTCGATCTGCGATGCTGGCGACGAGCTGCGAACCTCTTCGTTGTTTTTCTGTTTTTTTACCCGCGCCCGCGCTCGGGCTCGGATCGCCGCGACGCTTCTGGAGCCAGGGGAGACGGGGTAGGTCTTGATCAAGGTTGCGTTGGTCTGTCGTTGCCTCATCGCCACGTTGGGCCGCAGTTTCATGCCGATGGGGAACATGCGCCGAATGTCTTTCAAGTCCACCTCCTCCAGTTCGAGCGAGTCCAGCTCCGCGACCTTGGACTTCGACCCGCTCTGTCGGTCGCCATGCCCTCTTTGCTGTCGGCGGCGGGGTTTGCAAGCAGGCTGCCCCATTCCTGCCGCGGCTGCGCCGGCGTGCTCGCCAGCGCTGGGCGGCGAGTTCATGGGGGCGAGGTACTGGGAGGTGCCCAGCAGCAATACGGGATTGCAGCTCGCCAGTTGTGGCGAAGGTGAGCCCGCAGTCGTCGCTTGGGCAAAACAGCTGCGGCGGATCGTTTACATCGAAGTTGTAAACAGAGCGGTGTTTTAGGCACCTTCCAGAACAACGCACAGCAGCAAGACGGTGAATCGCAGTCTGTCGGCTCGCAGACGTCGATCGGCAATTGGGGCATTGGTTCGTAATCGTGAACCGCGCGCGTTCGCGCACTCGTCCTTGCCCCCCACCCCCTGCCCATCGTCTGGTGCACTCGGAGCGCTTGTTTTGTTCTTGCCATGAATAAGCATGACGCACCATCTTCACACAGGAGGCCGCGCGCATTGGGGTTTTGCCCGGAGACGGCTGCATCTGGAGCATTGCGCGGCGTAGCGGGCTGTCCCTGCCACCATTTTCGCGCGCGTGCAACCGCGCGCTCAGCAAAAGCAACCCCGCCTGGTGTCGGGCGAAAAATGTCGAGCAACTGTCTCCAAGAACGTCGAGGCATGCGCGTCCGTCAGCAATGCCCGCAGCAATTTCACATCGTCAAGGAACTGCTTGCGCCACGGGCTGGGCACATGCGCGGGGTCTCCACCATCTGAGCGCGCAGGGGCCCAATCGAAGTCCATCGTCGCCGTGGTCTCGCAGAGTAGTTTACCAAATGCACAGGCTAGCAGTTGGGCATGGTGTGCAGGTTCGCGTGCAACTCGCTGCCATGGCTGAACGCGCGATATCTGCATGTCCAGGGAATGCGGTGCCATCTTCAGTTATGTTCAAACTTCATGCGGTGAGATATTGCGGACCACTTTGGCTGTGCCTGATGAGTCGTCGTCGTCGGCGGACTGCTTGATATGTGCGGCACCTTGAAGGAGTGCGCGCGAATATCGCGCCACGCATGCGTCGATCTGATCGCGCTGGGCCTTCGTCAACGCACGCTCTTCGAGTCCAGAGGTCGCTGTTGATAATATGTTGCTTCCGAAGCCAAGAGATCTGCAGTTATTCCAGGAACGCCCCATGCGGCGCCAGCCACGCGCAGCAGCAATGCACCGCGCCTTGACCTCGACGCGGTTGCGACCGCTGGCATGCATGATGGAGCCTAAGAACAGAGTCGAGGAGTGGACTTCGCCGTCGACAGGGGCCGCACGGTCATGTAGGGCGCGCGAGTGTCTGTGAGCGCCCGTGCCAACAAACGTCGGCAGTAGACCGTCGGTAGTAGACTGTTGGTAGTAGACCGTCGTACCAACAGACGTCGGTAGTAGCCCGTGCCAATGAACGTACAATCCGCATTCTGTTGCAGGCCAATCGCGCTCAGCTTGTCGTTCCAGATCAGGTCGGAGCGCTGTGCTTTGTAGGCCGCCATCTGCGCATCGTGACGCGCGTGGGTCCTGGTGAGGTCGTCTGCGTACTTGCGAACGCTAAGGTCGACGTTGTTCCCAGTGAACTCGCACCCCGCAATCATCGAGGTGCTCATATCAGTAGTAAGCGCATCATTCCAAACAGTAGCGGGCGGCATGAAGGACACGCGGAACTGTATCGCAGCGCCAGAATCACCCATGAAGCATCCCACAGTGTTTTCGTAGCCTTGAATACCCATCCCGTCCCTGACCACACATGCTGCGCGTCGACGTCTGCCTTTCATGATCGCGCACTCCCCAGGGAGGCATATCTTGACATCTGCGGCGTCGAGGCAGGAGTGATCCACTGACGCGAAGGCGCTCGTCATGCCATGCTTCGTGGTAATGTGGCTCCGCTGCTGATTGATGAGTCGCCACTGAAGTGCCAACCCTACTGTGATAGCAGCTGATCGTGAGCGTGCCCCCACATATCCGGGCTCTATGTCGTCCAACGGAGGGGATGTGCGCAATTGTCTAGATGCAACCCATGGCTCTCCGAACGTGCATAGTCCGTGTAACAGTCGAGTGCGTCGCGTACGTGGCTTGTTAGTCATCTTGCTAACTTGATAAGCTTGAGATATATTCCACCATGCATTGAGCCGTTGATGTTGACGAACCGCAGCAAGTTGCGTGAGAATCGCATCGACGGGTAGGGGGCCAGGGAAGAACATCGCGCGGTCGAACTCGCGGCACCCGTCTTCTCCGATCTTCACTCCTGTCCACGAGCAGAAGAGTCCAGATATCTGCAGGTAGAGATCATTCAGGAGCAGTTCGTCAGCGTTTGCAATACTTCCGCAGCCGATTCTTGATCGCGTCGAAATCGTACTGGGCGTGTCCCCACTGAGTCGATAAAATGAATGATATCAACGGGGGCTGCCTCCATTCCGCCTTCAGCGCCAGAAAGCGCCATATCTCCGGTCCAGGTCTGAACGGGGGGTCGAGCGTCGGGTAGCTCGAAGTAGCATCGTTTGCCAGGGCCCTCACCGTTGCCATCAAGTCGCCTGGAAGCTCGCCAGACCTCTGCTTCCAGTCCTGCTCCGTCAGCCTGTTTGAGTTCGTGAAAACGCCGCTCGTCTCGCAGGTCACGCAATCGCCGTCGGAGTGTTTTGCAGGCTGCGTCGTTCGTCCGAGGGACTCTGCCGAGCAATCGTTCGTTCATGAAGGGCGTGTCGGCGTTGCTGCGCGAGCTGTCTTTCTGCCCAGTCCGCCATGTCTCGGCAGCCGTTCTCGTTGAGGTAGTTAGACAAGTCCGTGTCAATGTCATCGCGGAGCTGCGTCGCCCAGTCGCAGTACCTTTCGTCATTCCAAGCTAAGAAGATGCGGGTGTAGTCCCACTGCGGCGTAGTCTGGGGCTTGTCGAATGTGACGGTACAGCCCACGTCTATATGAAGGATCTTGTGGTCCAGGAGGCGTTGCGATGGGAATGCTCGGAGTCTTTTGGTCAGTCGGCATTCGATGCTGCGCCGCCGCGCTCGCGGTAGATAACGTATCGGCATCGCGAGGTAGTCGATGTAGCTCGTGTGTCCGAGCAGTCCATGGTAGGCGGGGCCGCAAGGGTGGTGCCTGTTCGTCGCGCACAGGGCGTAGTCCTTCATGAACGCGTGCAAGGCTCCCCCCCTGCGTAGTGCTGCTGCCCGTGCGCGTGCATACCTATGGTGGCGTCGTCGTCATCAGTAGCGTTGGCACGCTCGAGGCCGCCATGCAGGTCTGCACCAGTGAACGCGCAAGTTCGGATCGGCAGGTTCGAGGGGATGTCGCGCAGGTGGCTAAGCATTTTGTCTATGATAACTTCGTTCTTGGAGGCAGAGGCGAGGCGCTGTGATCCCGGGGGGAAGCAGGCTGTGATACAAGTGAAGTCGAACTGAGAGCTCTTCACACGCGCAGCGCCTACACGGCCTCGAAGAGCGGGTGGAGGCTGCCATATCTTCATTTTGTGGCTTCCCGAAACAAGCGTCGATTCCACCAGATTTCCGTCCCACCTGATTTGTTGCTTGTCGTTTTCTTGTTTTTGTGATGCCATCCAAACTTCCGCATGGGGAACTCTGCTGATGTGTGTATGTGTGTCTCGTAGGGGGCCGTTGTCTTTGTCTGAGTTCCTGAGAAGAGTACTGCGTTGATGCACCCCATATCACGAGAGATCTCCAGGCGCTTGCCGTAATCTTGCAGAGACATCGGGTTCCATGATATGAGACGCATGTAGACCGTCAGCGTGTGACAGAGAAGCCCGACTTTCGGGGCGTTGGGCATATCGCCCACGCTTTGGATATCTCTGAAAAGCTCGAGCCAACGATTTGCACATGTCGATATACACATATATATATGTATGTATGTATGTATATATATACATATATATATATATATGTATGCACATACACATATATGTATTATTGTGTCTATATACATATATTTATATATGTGTATATGACTACATGCTTATCAGAGTGGTGGGGGCGAACGAGTATTCACTGTCCCTCGGCGCGTGGCTGAAGTGGGGTTCCGCGGTTCGGATTGATGCCGTTGCGTTGTTGCGTTGTTGTTGATTTTGTTGTTGAGGTTGTTGTTGTTGTTCTTGTCGTTGGTGTTGCTGCTGTCGTTGAGGATGTTGTTGTTGTTGTTGGTGGTGGTGCTCCTGCTGTTGTTGTTGAGTGATCACGTTTAAATGACAATGTTTGTCGGTCCCCCTGCCAAGTAGCCGTTGTATTGTTCAATTAAAGTGTTTCCCCCGGTCTCGCACCCGCCTTTTTACAAGGGAAAGCGAGGTGTCAACAAATTGCGTTGTTGGCCCCCGAACTACAGCAACAACGGCTTCCGCTGATACTTCCTCACAATGTGTTCTCAAACCGCGCTCTCGCGCGGGACGTCCTCAATAATACAGGAATCGCGCTCTCGTGTGGGACTTCCTCGCCATTCATTCAGACGCCTCGCCCTCCACACTCAGGAATCACGCTCTCGCTGTGGATTTCTGACGATTTATTTGGGAACCGCGTTATGGTTCAAGACTTCCTCGCGATTCATGCAGGACGCACGCTTCAGCAGGAGGCATTCGGTGGAGCGAAGATTTGTGGCCACCAGGGATACAACGCGCGCGAAGAACTCTACGAATCTTTCGGTGGTGACCAGGTTCACGGCTCACCGCTTGCATCCAGTTGCTTCGAAATTGAGTCTTCCAACCAGGCCGCGGTGATTATGCGATCGATGCAGATGGGATGGCCGCGTACCCAAAGGAGCGATGGAAATTGCCATGGGGACGCCCTGGATGGCGCGGGCATTGGGGGGCCGCAAACGTAGGTTGTCACATTCGATGTCCCATGGTCTGTTCGTAAGGTGCCCCCTTTGGGGGCCCCTGTCGTTGCGAAGCTCGTGAGGGGTCACCACGATGCTCTTGCGCGGCTCTCCGGTGGTCTGTCATGAGGCATCTGCAGCGTGATCGTAGTTCAGGGGACCAAATTGCCAAATCGGCAGCCATTCGGTAGCCTGGCCATTTGAAAGTGAGGCTCCACCGGCAAACATGCAGGCCCAGCCAAGGCGGGGAAGCGGTGGCAAGCGCATTTGGCAGTGGGGCCCCATTGTCAATTAGCTTGTTTGGGGGCCTGGCCTGGGCGGCCAAGGAAGTCCGAGTATCGATTTGACAGCGGGGGCCCAATGTCACATGGACCATCGGGGAGGCAGGCCGAGGCGCGGGAGGTGAGCTCCGATTGCCCATGTGTGAGCGGGGGCCCACTGTCAATGGGGGTGGGGGGGGGGGGCGTGGCGAGTCGCGGGAATTGAACTCCGATTGCCAGCTTGACCGCGAGGGACCACATTCAAATTTCAAATCAGCACGGGGGGGAGCTAGGCCGAGGCGGGCGAATTGAGTTCCGACCGCCCACTTGGCAAAGGGAATCCCGTTATCAAACGGGTAATCGGAGCACCCGATTGCCCATGATGGGATCCCCTCTGTCAAACAGGGAATATGAAGGAAAGTGTGGCCGATTGTCCGTCTGACATCGGGGATCCCATCGCCAAACCTGCAAATTTCGCTTTGCACCTTCCGCTGCAATGTTGCCCCCCTCCCCCCCGCCCCCACCCCCACCCCCCTGTCCGAGGGGAATTACGGGGGGGGGGGAGGGGGAAATCTCACACGCCTTGATGACCCCGAAAGGGTCGACGGACTCCGTGACTGCCCCACAAGTTCGCTGCTATCCCTCAGAAAGCCTGGAACCACGCGCTAAGGGTGGTGCACTTCTCCTTTTGTTGAATTCTGAGGTGTGGATTCGTGCAAAGCCTACTGGCAATGACTGCCGAGCCGGCTAGAACCTAAGCGCGCGCGTAGTGCGCGCGTGGTTCCAGTACACACACACACGTGTATATATAGACACCTGCATATACATGTGCATGCGTGTATACATACATATGTATACTTATGTTTGGTTGCATGCATGCATACATGCATGTACACATGTCTGCATGTACGTCTGCATGTATGCATATATGTATGTATGCGACTACGTGTAGATGTATATGCATGTATGAACAGTTGAACAGACTTGCAGATGTTAAGACATATAGCCATATACATATACTCCGATACACCTATATTTTCACATACGCACGTACGTTGATATGCAGATCAACACGCACGCATACCTGTTTACTCGCGTGTGCGAATACGTGCATGCACACCCCTATCCATTGCTGAATCTGGAATGTTCGGCGCCTTGCCTTGGCCTCCCGGGGACCTCCCGGGGACCGCCCGATCTGACATCGGTCGGGCGCCTTGCCTCGGCCTCCCGTGGCCTCCCGTTCGCCGTGGGTTCGGCCCCGAGGCTCTCGGCTCCAAAAAAAAAAACAGCCTCTCGACCCAGAGAGGGAGATGCTGGAACTGTGCCACGCACAAGGGGGGGGAGGGCGTGCCCCGCCTTCCGCACCCCTCGGGGGCGGGCGAGCTAGCCCTCGCCCGCCGACGCAGTGCATCTGGCACCTCGCTGAACGCTCCGACCACCAGTCGCCCGCTGCCTGACGACCACAAGGACCGACGCGCGCTCCGGTGCTACGCACAAGTTGAGGGAGGCGTGGCCAGCCTGTCGGCACCGCTCGGAGGCGGGCGAGCTAACCCTCGCTCGCCGACGCAGTGCATCCGATACTCCGCTGAACGCTCCTACCACTAGTCGCTCGCTGCCTAAGGATTGCCTACAAGAGGGGGAGAGAGAGAGAGAGAGAGAGAGAGAGAGAAAGAGCGAGCGAGCGGGTGGGAGAGAGAGGGAGAGAGAGGGATAGAGAGAGAGGGAGAGACAGCTAGAGAGAGAGAGGAGGGAAGGAGAGAGAGATGTATTGATAAACATGTGTGTCACGTTTTAGAGAAAAGAAATTGAGGGGAAGCGATAGCAGCTAGAGGGAGACAGAGAGAGACAGAGAGAGAGGAAAGAGGATGAAGGAGAAAGGATCAAATGCAGGAGGAGGAGGAATAGGCACGATGACGACGCGGAGGAGGAGGAGGAGGAGGAGGAGGAGGAGGAGGAGGCGAGAGGGGAGAAAGAGGACGAGGAGGAGGAGGATGCGGAAGAGGAGGAGGAGAGGAGTTGGAGGCAGAGGAGGAGGAGGAGGCGGAGGATCACGATGAACGATGAAGAGGTTGGGCGGGAGGAAATCACAAGGAGGAGGGGCGAGGCCATCCAGATCATCATCAAGATGGCCTTCGCCAACGGGGTCAGCCGCGTCTGGTGCGGCACCGACGGCCTCCTCTCGACCCCTGCGACGTCTGCGGTCCTCCCACGCGCTTCCTTCTCCCCTCTTCTGTTATCCTCCTCCTCCTCCTCCTCCTCCTCCTCCTCCTCCTCCTCCTCCTCCTTCTCCCGCCTCCTGCTTCTCCCTCCTCCTTCTCCTTTTCCGCCTCCTCCTCGTCCCCCGTGATCCCCTTCCTCCAGTCGTCGTTGGCGGCCGTTTTGTTCCCTCTGTTCCTGGACCTCGTGCCCCTTCGCTGGCGTGCGCAAAGGCACACCTTGAATCCTAGACTCCCCCCTTTCCTCCCTTGCCCCCTTTATCCCTCATCCTCCTCCTCCTTCCCCCCCTCCGTCGCCCTTCTCGACCTCCCATGCCATTATTCTTCCTTGCGGTCAGGGCGCTGGGATGCAGACCGCTCTGGGCTGAGGGAGGGCAGCTGCCTGTGGCAAGCCCCGCCCCCGCGCCTATGCAACGGCGCTGCAGGGAGGAAGCTGACTGTAGAAACAGCGCACGTCCGACACGTGTTCTGGTGAGGATGGTCGTAAATTCGACCTCGTCTTCGTCCGCGCGGTAGGAAGGAGGTCGAGCTCACACCCCGTGGCAGTTCAACGGGTGGTCTGAATTGGGGACGGTCATGATCCCGACATCTTCTTCGTCTGCGCAATAGGGAGGAGGAGGAAGAGGAGGAGCAGGAGGAGGAGGAGGAGGAGGATTTGGAGGAGGAGGAGGAGGAGGAGGTGGAGGGGGAGGAAAAGGAGGATTCGGAGGAGGAGCCAGAGGAGGAGGAGGAGAAGGAGGAGGAGGAGGAGGAGAGGGAGAAAGTGAAAACGAGGAGGAGAAAGCTTTTGGGGGCCCACTCGAGGCCTCCTGGGGGCTTCCTAGGAGCCTCCCGGGGGAGCTCTTCGGGACGTCTTGGGGGCCGTCTGGGGCCTCTTTGGGAGCTATTGGAGCGTCTTGGCCAGCTTTAGGGAGGCGATTGGCCCGTCTGACGCCTTCGGAGGCCGTCTTAGGGGAGCCTCTCCTTGCCGTCTTGGTGCCCCCTTGGGGCGCTTGAGGGCCTTCTTGGGACCCTCTTGGGATCCTCGTGGGCGATCTTGGAGTCCCCTTGGGCCGACTCGGGGCCTTCTTTGGGTCTCCGTGGGCTGTCATGGAGCTATCTGCAAACACTAAAGCGCAATCAATGACTTTTGCCTCCTCGGGCTTTCCTGGGGGCCTCATGGAACTTTCTTTGGCCGTCTTGGGGACCTCTTGGGCCGTCTTGAGGCTATCTTGAGCGCCTCAGGAGCCGTGTTGGGCCATCTTGACCGTTTTGGTGTCACCTTGGTTGTGTATCTAAGAAGCCGTCTTAAAGGCCATATCGACCGTTTGGAATGCGAAAAACGACTGGGAAGCGATCTATGATGGAGCGACATGTCCGAACTGTGTTCGCGACTGCAGCGACTGACACGCATTTCCCGAACTGTGTTCGCGAATGCGAGACAGTAGATCAGGTAGAAAAGCGCTCATATACTCGCATGTCACGAACTATGTTCGCGAATGCGACGTAGCGAGGCATACCTGTGAGGGGCTGTCACCATAAACGATCTTCGTGGGGCAGCAGGCCGTTGCGCGTTGAGCACTCGAATAGTGCATGATGTTCTCCACCAATCGGCTGCTGCCAGCCTTTCTTTTCGGCCGCAACCGCAATTTTTTTAATGAGGGACCTGGTCAGCAGACGGCCCCCCGTGCAGTGCCACTTTACATGAGATGGGTGGTTCGTAGAGACCCTTCCTTGCCTTGCCCCGTGCTGTAATTATTTCGTGTGGCCAGGTTGTCGGGTTCCGGTGGTGGTCTGGATGGTTTGCGTCCGTGCTGCCAACGAGGCACGACGGACCCGCTTGCCCTCTTCCTTCAGCAAGCATGTTAGGTGTTAGGTGTGGGAGGATCTTGTTTTCCGCAAAAAATTGGTTTATAGGCATGCCTCCCGCTCACGCTACACAGTGTATTTTACACCGTTCTGCCGTACATTCCGCCTCACAGAGCACGTCCGTTGTATTGCGCATCCCGCTTTACATTTCTAGTGTCCCACTCCTCCTCCCGCCTCCTCCTCCTCCTCTTCCCCTCCGTTTTCTCCTCCTCCTCCTCCTCCTCCTCGTCCTCTTGCTCTTTCTCGTCCTCCTCCATCCTCCCAAGCCCCGCCTCTTACGTTTACTCTTCTTATTACTCCTGAGCTTTATGACCCTCTCCTCTTAATCCTCCCAAGCCCCTACTTTTCATCTCCCCTTGAACCCTCTCCTCTTAGTCCTCCTCCATCCTCCTCCTACGCTCTTCCTTCTTCCCCCCCCGACCGATTTGTTTCTTCCTCTTCCCCCTCCTCCGCCGTTCCTCTCCCTCTTCTCCTCGATCCTCTGCCACCTCCGAGGTCATCCGGTGTCGCGGGAAGGGCAACGAGCCGTTCGGCGGGTTCATCTGCTCCGCCTCGCACAACCCGGGCGGCATCAACGACGACTTCGGCAGCGAGGAGGAGGAGAAGGAGGAGGAGGAGGACGAGGACGGAGAGGAGGAGGAGGAGGAGGAGGAGGAAGAGGAGGAGGAGGAGGAGGCGAAGGAGGAGGAAAACGAGGTGGAGGAGGAGGAGGAGGAGCAGAAGGAGAAGGAGTGGGCATGCGTATGGTGCCACGAAGGGAGCGAACGAGCGGGGACCACAAACGGCAGATAATGTGGGGCCACAGAGGGCAACGGCGGGGCCACTGACGGTAGCAACGGGGCCACGCAGGGCAGCGAGCGGGCTACAAAGGGCAGCAGCGGGGCCACGAAGGGCATGCATATGGGGCCACGAAAGGCGCGAACGAGCGGGGGCTACGAAGGGCATGCCTATATTGGGCCGCACAGGGCAAGGACGGGGCCACTGAGGGCAACAAGGGGGCCACGAAGGGCAGCGAGGGGGCCACGCAGGGCGACGGCGGGGCCACGAAGCGCATACATATGGGGCCACGACGGGCGCGAACGAGCGGGAACCACGAAGGGCATGCATACATGGGGCCACGAAGGGCAGCGAGGGGACCACGAAGGATTGCAACGGGGCCACGGAGGGCAGCGAGGGGGCAACGAAGGGCTGCAACGGGGCCACGAAGGGCAGCGAGGGGGCCACGAAGGGTTGCGAGGGGGCCACGGAGGGCTGCAACGGGGCCACGGAGGGCAGCGAGGCGGCCACGAAGGGTTGCAACGGGGCCACGAAGGGCAGCGAGGGGACCACGAAGGGCTGCTATGGGGCCACGAAAGGCAACGAGGGGGCCACGAAGGCTTGCAACGGGGCCACGAAAGGCAGCGAGATCCCGATTCCTCAGTAAGCTGTGAAGGAGTCCTAAGCGTGAGCGCGACTCCTGGGTGCCTGAGTGTCGGGAGCGCGGATTCAATTGTTGGGAATTCCAACGCAAGCTTGCGATTCTTGAATAAGTTGCAAGCAAGTCTCCAGCGAGAGCGCGGTTCCAGACCGCCGAGAGAGAGAGAGAGAGAGAGAGAGAGCGATTCCTTCATAGATTGGACAGAACTCTCAAGCGAGAGCGCGATTCCTGAGTGAAATGCGAGGAAGTCTCAGGCGGGAGCGAGGGTCCAAGGTAAAATGTGAGGAAGTCTCAGGCGGGAGCCGTTGTTGTTGTAACCCGGGGGGGCAGGGGCGTAGTTCGACTTCTGTTATATTCCCTGGTCAACAACAGGGTGTGAGCCCCAGGGAAAGCACGTCAATTGAAAAAACACCATGGTCACCGGAGGGGGGGGATCAACAACAATTACTTTCAATTGAGAGAATTCAACAGCAGCAGCAACAGCAGCAACGACAACGACAGCGACAACAACAGCAGCAGCAACAGCAGCAACAACAGCACAATAGTAACATACGCGAGTGCAGACATCAACGCAACAACGTCGGAGATGAGGGGCTGTCGTGGGGCCCGCGGGGCTGATCACAGAGCGGCCCCGGACCGAGGGAGGCTGGTCTCAAGAAGAAAGAGTTCGAGATCGGGAGCTTCCATCAGCGGCGAGCGAGGGGGAGAAGTGAGAAGGAGAAGGCCTTCTCAGAGGGTTGCGGGGCTTTTCAGAAAGACTCTGGCCTTCTGAGAGGTTTTCTGCGTCTTCGGGGAAGGCTTAGAAAACATCCCAGAAGGCCGGGGGACTTCCGAGCCCTCTGAGAAGGCCCGCCCCCTCTCACTTCCCTCCCGGGCGCGCCGCCTACTTGAGACGGTGGCCACTGCAAAAGGGGGGGTCAGCCAGAACGCCAGATCTTGCAGGGCCTTCAAAGTCAGGGCTGCGTTGGCCCGGACTAGCGCGCAGGATCCTGCAGGATCTTGCAGGATCTTGCAGAGCCCGACGGACCCGCGTTTGCATCGACCCGGGCCAGTTGACGCCCCACGAGAGGCGAGGCGCCTGCGGCCGTGAGAGACGAGCCGCAGCGGAGGCGAGGGGATCCAGTCGGTCTTCCCGTCCCTCCTCGGTCTCCGTCTCGCTCTCCCTCCTCTCTCCTCCTGCTCCCGCTCCTGCCCTCGCTCCGCCTGCTCTCTGTCCTCGCCGCTCCTCGCCGCTCCTCCCCCTCCCCCTGCTCCGCCCGTTTCCCTCCCCCACCCGTCCTTCCCGCTTCCCCCTCCCCTCACGCCTGCTCCTTTTCCTCGTCTTCCTCCGTCCTCTTTCCTCTCCTCCTCCGTTGCCCCCTTCCCCTCCCCTCATCCTCCCTTCCCCCCTCCTCCGTTTCCTCCGCCTCCGCCATTCCCATGTCATCATCGGCATCATCGTCATCATCATCATCATCATCATCATCATCATCATCAGCAGCAGCAGCAGCAGCAGCATCACCATCAGCAGCATCAGCATCAGCATCAGCATCAGCATCAGCATTATCATCATCGTCGTCATCACCATCATCATCGTCATCGTCATCGCCATAATCGTCATCATCATCATCATCGTCGTCATCATCGTCATCATCGTCATCATTGCCATCAGCATCATCATCAGCAGCATCATCATCAACAACATCCTCACCCTCATCCGCAACCGCATCCGCAACCGCATCCGCACCCGCATCTGCATCCTCATCCTCGTCCTCATCATCATCCATCCTCCGTTTATCCATCCCTCCATCCCTCCTTCATCATTCTCCCTCCTCGTCATCCTCCTTCTTCTCACCGTCCTGCTCTCCTAAGTCAGCTCCTCATGATAGGTCCGACAACTTTCCTGTGTTGTTCTTCCTCCTGCTCTTCACCATTACCCTCCGTTTGCTCGCCATTCTCGGGGCAAACAGGCTCGAAACCAACATACAATCAATGAGAGAAGGCGAAGACCACCTTCACGTTCTCTCGGGCTGTCGGTAAAGGTTCTAAAGGTTCGTCAATGAGCGGGCGGCGAAGACAGGGGCCCCCATCGGGGCCCCCTCGGGGCCCCCAAGCGCCCCCCCTTTGGCGGCCCCTTTGGGGGCCCCGGAGTGCTCCTCTGGGGCCCCCTGCCTGCAAAAAACCCTCGACCACCCGCCCTGGATGGAACCCCCCCCTCCCCCCTTCACGACCGCCCGAGGCCTCCGAGGGCGAAACACCGCCCCTGTGCTCCCCCCATCCTCCTCCCCCTCCTGGTGCGCAGTCGGGCGTGTCCCTCCCCAGGAGGAATATTACTCAAGAATACTCCCAAAATGGTCAGGGAACGATTTTTTGGGGCATCGTTTGACAATTTTGGTGCACTTGTTGAGTGTGTTTTTGATTTGTCACCCAAAGTCCGCCTGTAGGGGGACATGCCCGACCCAATCCTGGTGCTCCTCCCCGTCCTCCCTCGGCATCAAGTACAACTGCGAGAACGGCGGCCCCTCCCCGGAGAAGATGACGGACCTCATGGTGGAGTGGACCGCGAAGATCACGGAGTACCGGCTCTGCGACAAGCTCCCGACCATCGACCTCGCCAAGCCGGCCACCTACGTGCTGGGCGACAGGAGCGTCGAGGCTCGCCAGCTCGGCTGCTGGAACCAACACTGCACTCCTTGCCTCAGCCAGCCATCGGTGAATGACCTGAGCGGGCGGGCATGCTGTAGAGGTGCCTCGCACCCGCTCGAGGTTCGCCATGAAGCAGAGGGGTCCTGAGGACAACGGGTCCTGCAGGCTTCTCGTCGTCTTCGGCCTCTCGGGGGCCCGTCCTGTTGACCCCCCCCCCTGAGTCCAGGACCCCGCTCCCCCCAGGAAACCGCTCCCCGCAATGAAGGGAGCAGGGCCCTGGGGGAAGTGCCGTGTGCGGCATGGCACCGTATCTTCCGGTACGGTAGACGCGGCCGGTACGGCATCGTCCCGTACGGTAGACGCGGCCGGTACGGAAACGCGGTCTCGGCCGCTTGGCGCGGTACGGAACGGGCCGGTAACGGTTGGCCCGGCATTTGGCACAGCAGTGGCCACCGTGCCTCGTGTCGGCGAGGTCTTCGACTGCGTCGAGGACCACCTGGCGCTGCTGAAGCAGTGCTTCAACTTCACCCAGATCAAGGCGATGGTCACCCGCTCCGACTTCAGCATCGTCTACGACTGCATGAGCGGCGTGCAGGGGCCCTACGCTCGGAGGACTGCCCCGGGCCCTCCACGGCGCACGCCTGCCCGGGCGCCCTGCCCAGCCCCAGTTGCCCCGCCATGGTGCCCAGGTTCGTCCGAGCAGACGGGGTCGGAGGATGGCGCCGCATCGCCGATGCATCCCCGATGCATCGCCGATGCGGCCTGATGTGGAGCCCGTTTTCTCCACGCCGACGGCGCCGATGCATTGCCGACGTCTCCAGTGCATCGCCGATGCATCGCCGATGCACCAGCGATGCGGCGGCGATGCGGCGGCGATGCGGCGCGATCCTTCGACCCCATCTACTCGGACGCTCCTCCCTCCCTCTACGGGGGGAATATTCAAAAATTGTCAAAAAATAGTCAGGGGACGATTTTAAAACCATCTTTAGCTATTTCTGTTTTTGTTTGACTATTATTTTGTTTCTGCCTGTAGGGGGACATGCCCGACCTAACCCTCACATCCTCATCCCCTCCGAGGCTATTTTGGCTCTAGCCTGTTTTGCTCAAGCGCGCCTGGCCCATCGATGCTCCCAGGGCCGGACCAGCTTCTCGGGCTTGCTTTTGAGGTCCTCGGAGGTGTTGGTGTGCGTGCAATGGGCGTTTCGCATGTGATGCCTGGCGCCGTTAGGTACAGTCGCCGTAGACGCGCTAACGGCAATGTAGGTAACGGCGATGTAGGTTTCGACATTGTAGGTGGGACTGATTCGTGGCCAAGCCAATTTGTAGGACATGGTGACTCGCGCTTTCCTACAATTCGCTGCGTCGTTGTCGCTCGATCCATTCGCACGTTTGAAATGTAGGAAAGTGTGGTGCGTGAACAATTTGTTCTGCGCGGGCTCGGTGTCACGAAAGTCAGATTCCCAACATCGCCGTTAACCATAATCGCCGTTAGCGCGGCCTTGGAGTCGAGCATCCGATTTTGGAACCTCCTTCCGAGAAGCTGGGCCAGCGTTTCTTAACCAACTTGCCAGAACGCTGGCCCAGCTCAGCGTTTCTGAACCAACCTTCCAGAACGCTGGCCCAGTTTCCTGAGCACGCTCGCCCCCTCCAGCGTTAACAGCAGAAATCTGTCCAGGTGTGTTTTCAGAAACCTCTGGGAAGCTGGCCCGGATCTCTTAAATGGTATGCTTCTTGATAAAGTTGTGTGCTGTATTGCATCGTGGCGGGCATGGGTACATCGGGCGTTTCAACATGTTGTCGCTCTATGTCGTTGGGTATTTCATCGTGGCGGATACGCCCTGGTGCTTGCGATCGCGGTGGTCGAGGCTCCACAGTTTGAAATATATGAGCGCTTGCGGGGTGCATGGCTGGACTGGCTGTCATTTGCATTCAGATTCCACGTTTTTGCAGTACCTCGGCGCTGTTGAGTGTTCGGCGGGGCTGGCGTTGTCATTGCATTCCCCATTATCCAAAGGATTGGGTTATTGTTGTTACTCCGACCGCGCCGAGAACACCTCCTCCACCTCCTCACCTTCCTTATCAGGCTATGTTATGTTATGATACGGCATGCTATGTTATGTTAAGTTGGTTCTATGGTATGGTATGGTATGCTGTGATATGTTATTCGATGATCCCCATATCCAAAGGATGGGATCATTGTTATTATTCCGACGGCGCCAACTTCCTCACACACCTTCCTTCTCTTCATCCCGATAGTATGTTATGGTATGTTCTGATAACAGTATGCCATGCTATGATAGGGTATATCATGGTATGGTATGTGGTTGCATGATGTGCTTTATTGTGTTATGGCAATGCTAAGGTTATGTTATGCCATGATATGTTATGGTATGTTGTGATGACGGTGGTGCTGATGCTGAGGGTGGTGGTGATGTTCATGCTGATGATGCTCATGCTGATGCTGATGATGCTGATGCTGATGATGATGCTGGTGATGATGATGCTGCTGATCATGATGATGATGGTGCTGATGATGCTGATGATGATACTGATGATGAAGATGATGATGATGATGATGATGCTGATGATGATGGTGATGGTGATGATGATGATGATGAAGATGAAGATGATGATGATGATGATGATGATGATGATGATGATGATGATGCTGGTGATGCGGATGATGCTGATGATGCTGATGATGCTGCTGCTGCTGATGATGATGATGATGATGCTGATGATGATGATGATGATGATGATGATGATGATGATGATGATGATGATGATGGCGGGGCTAATTCTGAGGATGCCTCAAGCGAGGCGCGGGTTTTAGCACCCCCAAAAGGGAGCCGCCAAGGGGTATCTCACTCCTGCGTTCGCGCAAACATGGCATGCGCAACATCCTCCGCTCTCGGGGCAGATGTTGAGGATGCCTCGAGCGAGGCGTTGATGTTCGCCCCCAAGGGGGGATGGGGGGGGCAGATTTAGAGGATGTCTCGATCGGTTTGCCTGTTTTGGTGGCCAGGCTCGTGGGCACAGATTCCCCCCAGGATGCCACAGGAGGCTCCGGCAGGCTCCAGGAGGCACTGGGAGGCCACAGGAGGCCCCAGGATACACCATGAGGCCAAAGAAAGGCTCAAGAGGCCACAGGATGCCCCAAGAGGCTCCAGGAGGCCCCAGGAAGCTCCAGCAGACCTCAGGAGGCTCCAGGATGCCCCAGCAGGTCACAGGAGGCGGCAGGAAGCGCCAGGAGGCACCAGGAGGCCGCAGGAAGCGCCAGGAGGCACCAGGAGCAGGAGGCATCAGACGGCCACAGGAGTAGTTTCAATCCCATGTGTTTAAAGCATGCTCCTACAGAGTGGGCCTCACCTGGAGCATGTACGTCTGTTTCTTTATGTATTGCCCTTCTCCTAGTATCCAATGCGAAGTGGTTTACGTATGTTCCTATAGATTGGGCCTGCCTTGGGGCACGAGTCCTTGGCATTTTTTCGTGTGTTCCTATAGATTGCCCTTCTCATGTGACTCTAATCCGCAGTGTTTTGTGTACGTCTGTTCATACATATTGGGCATCCCCTGGGGCACGAATCCTCCCCAGGAGGCTCCAGGAGCCCCCTGGAGGCCCCAGGAGGCTACACTAGGCCCCAGGAGGCTTCAGGAGACCACAGGAAACCCCAAGAGGCCACAGGAGGCCCCAAGAGGCTCGGAAGGGCCCAGGAAGCCCTAGGAGGTCCCAGGAGGCCCCAAGAGCCCCCAGGCTCATGCGCAGAGACGCGCTCGTACTACTGAGACTCGCTCACACTCCAACTCAGTCACAGATAGATTCACTCCCAGACCGTCGACACTCAAGCCCGCTTATATTCGAACACTCGCGCCTCGACGCTCACGGCGGACAGGTCCATGATATTAGATGTTCATTTGGGGAGCCCCACGCAGTGAATACTTATAGCATGGTGTGTACTGGCATGCTATGTGATGGTGTGGCATCTTATATTTTGGCATGACAGGTGATGGCATATTGAGTTGTGCCATGCTATAGTATGGTATGTATTGTTATGATCTGGTGATGTTGCAGTAGAAGGAGACAGTGATGATGATGGTGCTGGTGGTGATGATGCTGATGGTGATGATGCTGCTGATGATGCTGATGATGATGCTGGCGGGGCAGATTCTGCGGATGTCTCGAGCGAGGCGCGGGTCTCAGCAGCCCCAAAGGGGAGCCGCCAGGGGGTATCTCATTCCCCCGCTCGCGCCAAACTTGTCGGGGATTGCTCGAGCGGTTTGCCTGTTTTGTTTCCCAACACCCCCCGCGTTCGGAGCAGAGTCTGAGTATGTCTCGAGCGAGACGCAGGCATTCGCCCCCAATGGGGCGGCCGCCAGGGGGAATATCACTCCTCCGTTCGCGCTCAGATTGCGGGGATGTCTCGAACGGGTTGCCTGTTTTGGTTCCCAGCATGCTCCGCTATCGGAGCAGATTCTGTGGATGTCTTCGGCGAGGCGCTGGTTGTCGCAACGCTGGGGGTGCACAGGTGACGAGGATGTATCGAGCGATTTGCTGGTTTTGCTGGCCAGACTCGTCTGCGCTCAACGCGGATTCTGAGGATGTCTCGAGCGAGTCGTTGGTTTTCGCACCCAGGGGGCTCGTATTGCGAGGATGTCCCGGAGTCACGCGTGCTCAAACCTACTCGTGCTCAGACTCATTCATACTCAGACTCGTACCCATCAAACTCGTACTCAGACTCATTCACACCCAGACGTGCGCACACTCAGACTCATTCTCACTTAGACCCACCAACCCTCAGACTCACTCGTAGTCAGACTCACTCGTACTCAGACCCAGGCTCAGTTTCGTATTCACCATACACATACTCAGACGCACTCACGCTCAGACTTTCTCGCACTCAGAAGCACCCACATCCAGGCCCACCCACCCTCAGATTCACTCGTAGGCATACTCGATCGTACTCAGACCCATTCGGGCTGAGACTCATATTCGTCTCACTCACGCTGCTACCCACGCACGCCCAGACTCGCCCACACTCAGACTCAATCACACCCAAACTCGCTCGGATTCAGACTTACTCATTTTAAGACCAACTCGTACTCAGACTCTCTCATACCTAGACTCACTGACAACCACACTCAAGCATACCCCGGTTCACTCCCATTCAGATTCGGTAATTTTAAGATCGCTCATGGTCAGATTTAATTCGTCGCCTTCCCTTTGATGGACCAATACCCCCTCGCTCTTAAACTTGCGTTGCCCTCGTCTGTACTGGAAAATGCCCACTGAAGTCACTGGAGTCATCGATGTCGCCGTCGTCGTTGTCGCGCCCGTCGTCCACGCCGATGCGCTCTCTCACCCATATGCTCACAGACAGAGTTCTTCAGCGAGAAGCGGCAGGAATCTGATATACACAAAAGGGGAGCTCCACGCAGTGAACAAGTGTTCTTCCGAGGTGAACGCTGGGAGTGGTTCATCATCCGTACAGTTGCTTTGGGATGTTGCCTTATCACATCTCTTACAGCTTGGGATGGCGATTCCGCGCCCAGGGTGTAGGGGGGACCGTCTGGGGGACCGATCTTCCTTCCTGGGCACCATTTCAGGGTGTGCTCGGCCATGTTCCTCTGGAAGTTGTTCTTCATGGCCTTGAGATACCTCGCCTGCGTTCCTCGTCTGCGTGTGCTTCATGGGCTTGCTGGTCGTGGTCTTCGTCATGTTGCTGGTGTCGTCGCGTCCGTCTCCCACTCTGATGTGAAAGGGGGGGATCCCCTCATCCCTTCCCTCGCCCTTCTCCCTTTCCTCCTCTTTCTCATCCCTCGGTCCCATCCTCGTCCACTTCTTCGTTCTCTCTGCCGCCCCCCCCCCCACACCCCCTCCTCTCTGTCCTTCCACTCCTTCTTTTCCTCCCTTGCCTCCTCTCCCCCAATTGTTCTTCCTGCTGCTCCTGTTCCTAATTTTGCTGTTCGGTATGCTGCTGCTGCTCCTCCTTCCCCCGCCCACTCAACCTCCCCAGGGAGGAGGGGGAGGAGGAAGAGCACAAGAGAGAATAGAAAGGATACGGGGGATGATGAGCAGGAGGAGGAAGAAGATCTGGGATGAGGCAGCTCGATGATGCGATGAACAACCCACTTTCCATCAAACCACAGCTCAATATGTTGCACCCAAGTCGGGCTGCAGCTTCCAGCCGACCAGCATCAGTCTTCACCAAGAGGCACGTCAGACCGTCCAACTGCACGTACAGCGACCATCAACAAGCCAGACAGCACAATGACCGAAGCACGTGAGTCACGGCAACATTGATGTCAGGGCACGTTCAAGACATAAGGCAATTGGACCTCACAGCCGTCAGGATGAAACGGCCATCTGTGCGAGGGCCATGGCAGCAGACAGCAACAACAGCAAGTCCAGCACCTCAACCACAACTAGCCCTGCTGCCACAGCAGACAACACAACGGGAACTGCAGATCCCGGCGGCACCGCCAGTGGCCATGATGGGTCTGCACAGGCACCAACATCAGTCCAAATTCCAGCGTCGGAAGTCCCCACACGTCGGCTGCACGTCAGAGTGACCGTTCGCCGGGGTGACCTTTGGTGCGGGCCGAGTGGGCCCCCCCGATCATGGATAAGCGCTGCGATGGCAGCAGCCTGCGCGCCTGGTGGTGTCCCCAGAAGTGGCCCCCCTTTGGGCCGGGCGCCAGAGGCCACTGCTGCCCAGGGTCCCTCTTGCGTGCAGCCGAAAACGGTGTGGTGACCGCACCGCCGTGTGAGTCAGCGGGGCTTCGGCGTGGCCCCCACCGTCATTGGGACTTCGGTCTCTCTCCGAGGACGTCTCGGCCAGCGGGGCCGCCGAGGCCACGCGCCGTGCGTGCCGCGTCGTGGGGTGCCGGTTTCGGTGGAGCTCCCCAGCAGGGGCACGGAGCGTGTGAGGGGTGCGCCAGAAGGGGCGCGGCGGCGCCGTGCGAACGCAGCCACTGGGGCCTTCGGTGAAGCTCCGTACGGGAACAGGAGGAGTAGGAGGGGGAGGAGGAGGAGGAGGAGGAGGAGGAGGAGGAGGAGGAGGAGGAGGAGGAGGAGGAGGGCCACGAGGCGTGTGAGGGGTGTGCCGAAACGGGAGCGGCGGCAGGGAGGGAGGGGGGGGGGGGCAGCCATGGGCGGTGCGAGCAGCAGCGGCCCTCCGCCGAGGATCATCGAGACGGAGCTCTGCGCGGCTCCTGGCTCGTGCACCAACGCCATCCCGAAGGAGTCGTCGCTCGTCCTCGTCGTCGTCGTCGTCGTCGTCGTCGTCGTCGTCGTCGTCGTCGTCGTCGTCGTCGTCGTCGTTCGTCGCCGCCGCCGCCGCTGCCGCCGTCGTCGTCAGAGTCAGAGTCGGAGTCGGAGTCAGAGTCAGAGTCTGAGTCCTCGTCAGAGTTGTCGTCCGAGTCATCGTCTAAGTCGTCGTCAGAGTCAGAGTCAGAGTCGTTGTCGTCGTCGTCGTCGTCGTCGCTCGCCGCCGCTGGGTCGAGGGGGAGCGGAGGCGAGGGGGGAGGGGAGGGGGGAGAAGCAGAATCTGGAGGAGGAGGAGGAGGCGAGGGGAGGTAAGGCGGCGGCGGGAGGGAGGCGCCAAAAGGGGGGTGGGGGGGTGACAGGACTCGTGTCGACTTCTCCGACCCGATTCGATTCGATGTCGAGGGCTTCCGAGTCCGATTCGATTCGACTTGGGATTCCGATGTGGGCTCCGACTTTTAAATGGAGGCCGTACTGGCCCGCCGATTTCCGCCGATGCACCTGCTTCCGCCTCGGCTGCCGATTTCCGCCGATCCGATTCTATTCGATCGCCGATCCGGTTCTCTTGATTCGACTCCTGGCTCCCCGGAGGGCGGGGCGCAGAGGCCGCGGGAGGCCGGGAGGGTGCCCGTGGCTCGATGTGATCTGGCACTCGTCCGCGCCTCCTGGCGGGAACGGTGGGACTCTCTCTTGGGCCCTGGGCGCTCTCCGCCGGAGGAGGGCCAGCCGAGTGAGGCAGCGGCAGTATCGGCCCTCTGGGGGCCCCCTCGTCGCCACGGCGGGACGCCGCTGGAAGACTGGCGCGTGCGGGCCCGCGGGGCGGGGTCCAGGGACCGGCTTGGAGCTGCGGTCGCCTCGGCCCGCCCTCCTCCGGCTGCCGCCGGGCGCCCGGATCGCCCCGAGCGGCCGCTCGAGGCCGGAGCTGTGGTGCGGAGGCCGCGCCGCCCTCCAGGCCCGTCGGCAGGGGAGCGCGGGGGGAAGAGGGGTCGGTCGGTCGGTCGGTCGGGGATCTCTGGTGACTCCGTCTTCGGAGTGCTGCCAGAGGGGTGAGAGCCACGGTGGCGATTCTCGGCCCGTCCGCTGGGCCACTCGACAGCCCACGGCCCGCACACGTCAGAAGAGTCTCCGCCACCCGAGGAGGAAGGAAGGGGCAGGAGGCCGCATGAGAACCAGACCGTGCTTTGGCACCTCTGCTACCGTGGGGAGCGTTGATTTACTGTAAGGACTGCGCCCGGGAGGCTTCAGACTCTGGAGGGCCCCTCGTCTGATGAGAGCGGCGGCGGTGATACCCATGGCCAACCCACGATTGGAGTTCCAACGGCGTCCAGACCTTGGATTCTTCATCCAGTTGTTCCGCATCCAATGCCATCACCGTATTGCTGACCCCGAGCGCGCGCCCGCGAGGGCCGAGCGCGCTTGCGCCGCGCGCCTGCTCGCGCCAGGGGCGCCAGGGGCCCAGGGCGCTCCTGGGCGCCCCAGGGACGCTCTGGGGCGATTCGGGAGCCCTTGAGGGCCCCCTGGGCCCCGGACCCCGCAGACCGAAACCCCGCGGTGAATTGGCTCCCGCCCACGAGCCCAGGGCGCTCCTGGCCGCCCCAGGCACGTTCTTGCGCCCCTGAGGGCTCACGTCTCGTTTCCGCACCGGGCCGGTCGCTTTTCGGGCTCGAACTCTCGAAAGAGTATAGAGGCTCGCAGAACGCCGCAGCGGCACCAGACCGTTTTGGTGCAACACCTCCAGCATTGCTGACCCCGACCCTGTTCCTCCTCCTCCTCCTCCCCCTCCTCCTCCTCCTCCTCCTCCCTCCTCCTCCCTCCTCCCCCTCCTCCTCCTCCTCCGCTGGCCCGCGCGCGCGGCGCGCTTTCGGCGCGCTCGCGTGGCGCGCCATGGGCCCCGTGCGCGCCGCGCCCGCCGCGCTGGCCGCGGCGCTCGGCGCCGCGCGGCCCGCCGGCGGGCTGCTGCTGGAGCTGGCGCGGCCGGCGCGGGGCGCCGGCGCGGACGCGGCGCCAGAGGGAGGAGGAGGAGGAGGAGGAGGAGGAGGAAGAGGAGGAGGAAGAAGAAGAAGAGGAAGAGGATGATGATGATGATGATGATGATGATGATGATGATGATGATGATGATGATGAGGAGGAGGAGGAGGAGGAAAGGGAGGAGGAGGAGGGAGAGGAGGAGGAAGAAGAAGAATAAGAAGAAGAGGAAGAGGATGATGATGATGATGATGATGATGATGATGATGATGATGATGATGAGGAGGATGAGGATGAGGATGAGGATGAGGATGAGGATGATGATGATGAGGATGATGATGATGATGATGATGATGATGATGATGATGAGGATGATGATGATGATGATGATGATGATGATGAGGATAATGAGGATGATGATGATGATGATGATGATGATGATGAGGAGGAGGAGGAGGAGGAGGAGGAGGAGAAGGAAGAGGAGGAGCCCCATGGGGCGTCCAGTCGTCGGTCTCACGCCCAGACATGCTCGCGTCGAAAAAAAAAAACAAAGATCAGGACGGGAGTTTTTGTTCGCAATTTTCGGCCTCCAGCGGCCTTTGCCGGGCCCCGGGACCGTCAGAAAACGATTCGGGATGAAAAGTCGGTCCTGGGGAATGGGTCGAGACTTTCGGGGACCCCGTATTGAAAAAAACATAGAATCGGATCTGTGGGCTGCTCAGCGTTTCGCGGAAAACCGAACGGCTTCCCCGCAGATCCCGGCGTCGCACCGTCTGTCCACAATTGTGGACACCGGTGTCAGGCTTCGTTAATGAGCGTTTTAGCCCGGTGTCAGGGCTTCGGGACCCTCGCAAATTGATCCTGCACGAAAAATGACCCAGAAATCGAAGAGGAAAAACGCCATAAGCAAACTGTTTGCACTCCGCGCGGATTTCGTGCATCCGCGCTGCGGCCCCCCTGGCGGCGCCTCCGGCGCCGCCCCTGGCGCACTCCGCGCGCCAGGGAGGGGGAGCCAGCGCAGATCCGAGAAATAAGCGCGGAGCGCCGAAAGTTTATGTTAGTGCCGTTTTTTCTTGTTCTGAGAAACACAGGGTCCAGTGTTCTGGGCGCGATTTTTCTATAATTGTTGGTGTATTTTTTTCGTCCAAAATTCGCTTGTAGGGGGACATGCCCGACCTAACACTGGGTCCAGGGCCTGGGCGTGAGTTTTCGAGATGTCGCGGGGCGTCGAAAATCGTTTAGGACTTACGCAGGTTCGCGTCGTGTCGCCGTGGCGGCGACCCCGGCGCAGGGCGTTCAAGGTGGAACTCCGCAGGGTGCCTAGAATTAAGCTGGGCACGTCCCTCTACAGGAGGATAATCCAAAGACGGTCAAGAAACAGTCTGGGCACGATTTTTCTTTTTTGTTATTTCTAAGCATGTTTGACAATTTGCTGGGTATTTTCAATTTTTCGCCAGAAATCCGCCTGTAGGAGGACATGCCCGACCTTAGCCTAGAATCGGCCAATGTGGAACGATCTCGATCGAAAAGCCGCCGATTGTTCAAGATTGAACGGTCCACGTGGTGTCAGAAGCCGACGCCGGGGTCGTCACGACACGAGCTTGCCGTAACGACGTCTCTGCTACACGTAGGAGCGACCTTTCGTCGGATTGACTTTCGGTGCGGGCACACAGAGCTCCCCAGATGGTTGAACGCGATACGATAGCAGCGGGTTCCTTGCGCGGGTTTGGCCTTACGCGCTCCCCGAAAGTCGCGCACCAAAGGTCACTCTTGCCTAAGGTTAGGTCGGGCATGTCTTTCTACAGGCGGATGTTGGACGACAAATAAAACATACCCCAAAAGTTAAAACAAATAGAAAACCCTCCCCCTATGTTACCCAATGTTTGAATTTTCCTCCCGTAGAGGGACAGGCCCGACTTGAGCCTAATGCCACTTTTGCTTGTAGCCGAGACTTCTGCCGTCTCTCGGCTCGCGGTGGAGCGGCCGATCTGCTCCAAATCTCCCTGGAGGTATTTCTGGATGTACTTGGGTGTGCCAGGATTTGCTTGGATGTGCCTCGATCTGCGTGCACGCACCATGATTTAACCAGCTGGATCCACAGGGCGACGGGCGAAGAGTCGGCAAGCCCTTTCTAGGGATCCGAGAGAGGGTCCCGACTTCGGATCCGCCTTGCATTTACTTTGGCCGATTTTCCGACTCACGGCCGTGCCGGAAGTGCACCTAAAACGATGCGAAAAAGCAGAAGCACATTCTTGCCTCAGACATGTAATTAGGGCCGATCTTCCCGCAAGAGCACGACGGAAGCAGCGACGGCAAAGTAGGGCGGACATCGACATCAGGGGAGTTTGAAAAGTAGGGCGGGAACTCCCGCCCTACTTTCGAAATCCCGCAAGTACGGCGGATCCGAAGGCAGGGCGGTGGTCAGGACGTTGTTCGCGGGCTCTCGGAGGAAGTGTTCGTCGGCTCTTGGGCTCCTGTGCTTGCCTCGTGGCGCTCTCCAGCAGCTGCGCCTCGTCGAGAGCTTTCCGCGGGTGCCCAGATCGTCCCGCACGGCCGCTGGAGGCCAGAGTTATGACCCGAACCAGCTACCTAGTCGTCGAGTCGTCGAAGAAGATCAGGAGGGGAAAACACACACACACACATACAGACACAATTAATCGTCGACCACCCTGAGAATATCAGAAAATATGGGAAGTGGGGGGGGAGACGAAAACCAAGAAAATATGGAACCAGATGGGGCATCCTGGGATGTGTGTCTATTTATTTGTGTGTCCCAGGGCCCCTTCAGACGAGGGGGGTCAGGACTCTGGGAGGGGGCGTGTGGATATCATGGCCAGGGCCATGCAGCCTGCCAGGTGCCCTGGCTCCCTCTGGCTCTTGCAACACGTTCCTCCCCCCCCGCTCGTCCGTGCAGGAAACTCTTGGCGGCGGAGAGGGCCCGATACTGAAGATTCACAAGTTGGCGACCTAATGGGGGCCTGCAGTGGCGAAGAGGAAGAGGAGGAGGAGGAGGAG